GGATATTGAGAGTCTATGCCTAGATTAGAAACTTTTATGCAAGAAGGATGTTCAAAGGAATGTACTTTGAATGTGAGACTTCACATCTATGGAATTGTCTTGTAACAATTTCTAAGAAAGTACTTTGTAATTTCATTAGCTACGTCTTGGTGACTTTTGTGCTATGATTTTGCAAAGGGATCGTTGCATAAAATGTTAGAATCTAGCATATTCTAGTAGTGGCAAGAACCTTGTGTTCTTACACTAATAATTAGGATTAAGGAATTGTGAAATGAGCATCATTGGAAAAGTTTTCAGGTGATCTATTTCACAAAGCATGGACCATAGGAAACATGGTGTGCATGCTTAGAGCATGGGACAATTGTTGTTGTAATTCAAGCAATGAGTTGATTATCCGAAACATTAAATGATAAATAATGAGTAATCAATATGGTGGATAAATAGAAGGGTTTTATTTACTCTCACAAGTTTGGGGCCATATAGGATTAAGTATTGTTGTCATGTTTCAATTTGCATGTTTTGACTTCCAGAATAACTAGGTTATTCAAACATCCACAGTCAGTTATACGTTGGGAGTAGGTATGAAGAAAGACTGTCATGAATGTGTCTGTAGATTGTCTGAAGTGTTTAGACATGGCACAAGTTTGCTGCAGAGTTCATGAGTGCTTTGATAAGATTAGAGTATTGGATTAAACCCACGCTCACTTGGATCACTTCATGGTTTTATCACGAGTGATTAGTGAGACGATAATATTGTATATTCTTGAAACCGAGACATGTGAGTTGTTATTTGTTGGTCGGTTGCACATTGATAATAAGTAAACGCACCAGTAACTTGGTGTTATAAAACTTATTGTTGTGTGTGATTCGATCAGTAAATGCAAGCGAGCATTTGAGTCGAAGTTTATCCATTCCTTTTACCCAAAGTGGGATAAAAGCGATATATGTGGGCCTCTCGATGATTTAGTGATGACACCTAAGCGCTTGGCCAAGCCGGGACTAAGTTGATGTGTTCAATTGTAGTCTGTTATCAGTCGTCATGAATCGGAAGTCGGGAAACAGTATAGAGAGAATGATTGAAATTCATGTCTTTTGTCTATACGATATCTTGAGAATGGAGGAATATATAATCCCTTATCTAGAGGACGCGCTATCTGATAAGATCAGAGTTGACAGCGGCTTTTGAAAGCTACGATTGCTGATCAGGTTCTGAAGTCATACGGAAAATAGTTATTAGACTTATCCAAGTGGGAGACTGTTGGATTAGTGTCTAAGTCCATAACTATTTTGGTATGTACTTGACCCGATTATGAGCATGGTCCTTTTGGGTTGCCTTCACCATAGCAATATGTAGGATGATTTAAGGAGAGAAAGGTTTAAATATGATTTATTAATATATTATGAGAATAATATATTAAAGGAGAAATCATATTGTTTAATTAATATTAGTCAATAATTAATTAAGAATTAATTTTGTGACTAAAAGAGATTAATTAAATATAGGGGACTGGACTGCAATTATTGGATAATTGAGTTATTGGGCTAAGGAATGCTAAAGGAATAAGGGGTGAACGAAATTATGATGGAAGCCCATCATATTTTCGTCCATAGCCTTGTCCAGAAGGTTCCATGGGCTGCTTAGAGTTTAAGCTGTCCATTAGGGTTTTGACTGAAACCCTAGCAGCCCACACAAGTATATAAAGGACCCCTTAGGCCCCAAAAACGTGGACAACTGATTCTCTAGGGTTTCTAGCCGTTTTTGGGCAGCCTCCTTACTTCTCCTCTTCATCCAAGTTGCATATGGTGTTTGTGACTCCATTAGAGGTACTACACTTGTGGTACTTGCTTTCAAGAGCTAAGGAAATTCAAGGAACTAGTTGTTATTGCTATATAACAACAAAAGGTATGTATTCTAGTTTTATATATGAATTTCGAAAATTATAGTAGCATGCCAGGTTTCTTTTTGTGTTCATAAAGTTGTATAACTAATAGTGAAAACATAGATCCAATACTAGGGTTGCATGCACACATAGGATTGTTTGTATTAAACCCATCATGATCATGACGTGTACGGCCATGATGTGTACGGCCGTACACTCATTAAAGAAACATGCAAAAATGGGTGTTTGATCCTTGGGGAAACTAGTGTGAAAATTGCTCAACAAGAAGACCGATGGACAAAACTATCATTTTGGAAGATTTTGAGTCGTGTACGGCCGTACACCCTTGATGATCTTGAGTTGAATGATGTTTCAAGGCTTTGAATCAAGTGTTTAACATGTCTAACTATATGATAGAAGGAATAATCACACTTTTAAGGGTCTTTAGAAGGTTCACGGTCCAAGAACAAGTGTGTGTTCTTGGTGTTCTTGGTGAAATGGATGAAGATTTGAAGATCTAACCAAAAGAGAAGATTTCATGGATGAAAACATGGATCTTCACTAGATAAAGCCATGTATCAACAATTTAATGGAAGGAATACTTACATCTTTGAAGATTAAGGTGTAAAACTTGATGATTGTTGAGAGAGAATCAGATTTCTTGAGGTGAACGTGTGAAAGAGTGTGAAGAAATGAAGGAAAAGTATGTGTGTGTGTGTGTATATATATATGTTTGGGTTGACGACCATCTTGGGTGTACGGCCGTACACTCCTCTAAATGGAGTGTTTAGCCCGAATGCAATACGATGAACTTAAGTTAACTCATCCCTAAACGAAAACCTTGAATGTACTAGACTTAGAACACTCAAATAGACCCTGGACAATGCTAAAAGATAGCATAAACGAGTCTGACTATGATTGAATTTGAAAGACTATACAAGATAGAAATTCCGGGTTGTCACACTAAGGGATTGTTTGGTATAGGGCGTGAGTAGAGCTGGTTGCAGGAGTAGAAACGTTCATCTATTTCACTTGACATTTGAGGAGAGTTTTCCTCCAGTAGGAATGGGTCGAAGGTACCAAGGCCAACCCGTTTATGTATGTTAGTATGTTCTGGATTAAGGTCCGATGTCGGGCGGGGCCCGATGTAGGTTTATATGTTTTTTTGGATTTCGATCCGATGCCAGGACAGTACCCAAAGAATGTTAGTATGCTTGATGTCTTTGTGATTCTTGCACGTGTATGTATTTGAATGTTCCGGACTACGGTCCAATGTCGGGGCGGTTCCCGAGGAATGTTTATTAATTAAAGTGTGAATTTATAGTGAATAACTAACCATTAAAATTATCTAACATTGAATAGTACTATGTAGCGTACACGTGTAACACTACTTGTTTTAGTTTGTTTTACATGTCTATCAAAGTCAATTTATTTGAGTCATTTTGTTAATTATTAGGTTTAATGTGTTAATTATTAAGTTAAGTTAGTTTGGATGGATTTTGGGTGCTTAAAGTACAAGGATGTTGGCGAAATTATGCTCTTTTGCTGTTGTTTTTTTGTTTGTGGATGTATATTTACCCTGGGTTGGATGATATTACCCCTCAATGATGGAGTTATGAGTTAGCTAATGATGTTGGATTTCAGGGTAGATATACGAAGTTTAATCAATTTGAGATTAGATGTTCACTAAAACCAGTTGATATCAAGTGGTTTGATGGAGTGTGTATTAAGATCAAGGTGTGTTGAGTGTGTTGCTCCTTAAAGCATTTTTTGAGGTTATATGACCATCATGCTCTTGGTAAATCACTTCGGTTGGTTCATATTAGTTTCTTGAAGATCATATATAATGCCTTATTGTTGGTTGTTGATGTTGCTCTAACTACTGGGTTGCTGGTGTGTTATTTGTCCCACAAAACATTGTTACTAAATTTGGTAAAGACCTAAAAGTTTGTTGATATTACTGGTTTGGAAGGAGCTGGTACTGTATAGCTTTGAAGCCTTATTTGACTTCTTGTTTTAAACACTTTGTTGTATACATATATTTATGTTGTTTGTGTGGTGCTTTTTATTGAAGTTATTTATGATGTTTATGGGTTCAATATATTTATAAATATAAAGGGAATTATTAAGTCTTCTTACCCGGGGCATGAAAAACCTATAGACTAACCCCGCCGATTATGATCGAATGGTTGTGATTAGTCAGATGGTTAAGGGCATGTTTGGTTGTAGAAAATTGTTTTCATTTTCCAATAAAATGTTTTTAGAAAATAGAGTTGAGTTTTCATTTTCGGTTTTCAATGAAAATTTTAGAAAATGTGTTTGGTTGGAATTAGTGGGGTCTTCATTTTCCATCTTAAAAATTAGAAAACTTTAAAAATTGTAAAAATCATTTTTTTATAATTTACGTACAATTTGGAAAACATAAAATTTTCATTTTCTTGGAAAAATTTTGAAAACTAAATCAACTAAACACGTTTTCAAATATTTCATTTTCATTTGAAATTTTTCTTTGAAAACTATAAAACTTTTGGCAATCAAACGCACTCTAACACCCTGTTCTCGAGTTTCATTAATGGAAAGAAAAGAAAGGAATAGAAATATGGAGAGAAAATAAAGGAATTGAAAGGAAAGTAAAGTGCATTTTTCTCTTCCCGAGTTTGAGAGAAAGGAAATGATAATTATTTTTCTTTTGTGTTCCCGAGTTGGAGAGAAAAGAAATGAAAACTAAAAGTGGACAATTATACCGTTGTCACGTTTTTACCATAATTTCAAATATATACCACACGATTCTCTTAAAAACAAAATTATGCCTAAACTTTTTTTTGCCACCTGTTGCCTACCTCTCGACTTCTTTAATTTTTTTCACATGATTACTTATACAATAATCATTAACACATAAGTCATTATTAACTAAAATTCAAGTATGATCTTCATTTGTATTACTCTTTCAAACAAAACCAATATAAAGTGGAAAAAAAATTCAAAAAAACCCAAAATGCATAACCCGATACATAACATGAAGTATATATAGAGAGCATAACAAGAAGATGACCAATAAAGAAAAATCAATAAGAATCCAATTTGAAGTCAATGCAAGAATAATCAAACAAATTCCAATGTATGAAGTCAAACCAAAAATCAAAAAGTACAAAGTCAAACTGATAATTAATCAAAAACTATCATCCTAAGTCATTTACTTGCACCTGTCCTTTTTTTCAGTAAACCTTTTCAAATTTTAAACGGAACTCTAAATAATGTCCCCGCAGCAGCTTGATTTCACGACAAAAACATGAGAACTTTTGCTAATTCATTGGGTTCCAAATCCATCGATTCTAATTCGTTATAAACTTCATCACCGGTATACACCCGATGATGAGAGTTTTTGAAGATTTTGTTACCTCCCCTCATAGCGAAAGCCACATATTTAAATGCACTCATAATAACTTTTTCAAATGATTCAGGTTCAGGTTCAACTTTATCTTCATCTTCATATCTATGTTTCCCTTTTTTACTTTTGTACTTCTTTGCACTTGAATTTTGCATCGGTGAAAAGCATGTAGGAGATAATACTTGAACATCATCATCATCATCATATTTCTATTGTTTCTCAAGTGTTATGTCATTTCTTTCCAACAACTCATCAACTTCTTCAATCGTTTCTACTTTGATATCCCCAGTCCTGTTCAATCGAGCATTCTTCTCTTTCGGGGTTTCAACATGCGCCCTAAAGCTCTATCTCTCGCAAATAAAGCTATCATTTCATTGTAGTTTGTGATTTTTTTGGTCTTCAATGAAATTGCCTCCAGGCTTTGACTATAGCATACAATCCCAAATATAATTATGGTTAAGAAAAATAACATAAATGTATACATAACTAAGTAAAATGCAATACAGAACCTTACATTAATTAGGTTGGCCCACACTTCCTCACCCACTTCAATTAGCTATGTTTCAGAATTACAACCAAACCCACTCAATGAAGTTCAACGGAACATGTCATACCATTGCGAAAAACCTTATTTTAAAGTTTTCAAACGATTTTTAAATGATTTTTTTTGTTAAACTCTTCCCAGACTTTGCATTAAGTTCCTCTACCATGTTGGTGTACGCTTGTGAGATGAATGTCCTACTAATCTTGTTTCCATTATCTTGTTGTGTCAACAAATCTTGAATAAAACAATAATCCATCCAATTTGTCCATTTTGTTTGTTCTTTCTTACCAACTTGTTCTTCCTTTATCATTATCACCTGTGTAGCAACATAAATAAACAAACCATACATTGATAACATAAAAAATATATACTTAGAAAGTGTACAAGTAATAAATAAATAACATGCTCAAAAGATAAATAACACAAATAAAGTCAAACACAAACGATCCATACAAAATCAAATTGAAATGATATAATGAAAAACTATTAGCTACATTGACATATCTATCTCATGGTTGTGGATTTGGTAAGTAATCAGTCCAAATTTGATTTACAATTAAGTTCCTCATTTTCTCTGCTATGACACTACCCTCATGTGTCTCTCTTAAATTATGTCACACTTCCTCTCTTGGTTCTTTTAACACTTCATATAGTACCTCATCTTCAAGATTTTTGTCTTGATCTTCTAACAAAAATTTATGTAAAATAAACATGCCAAGAAAACGTCTGATTGTGGTTCACACGAATAAAAAGGTTCCTATGTACTTCTAATGATAGGAAACCTTCTTTTTAGAACACCAAATTCTCGTTCTATAGCGTTACGTAATGAAGCATGACGGAGATTAAACAACTCTCTTGCATTCTCAAGGGACTAGGCATAATACTCTTTTCAAATGATACCTGACACTTGTATATGGTGCCATTAGTCTTGTTGTATGAGGCAAACCAAAGTCTACCAAACAACATCGACCTACAAATAAGTTGTAATTAGTTGTGTATTAAAAATTAGATTCCACACAAGAGTATTTTTTGTATTAAAAATTACTTGTTGGAATTACTGGTTTATCTTCTCTATCGAGTGCATTCTTTAGTATCCTTGAGTCTAATGTTATACCCTCCCAACCACTTAAAATGTACGTAAATTTTAAATCAAACATACAAGAAGCTAAGACATTTACCGTAGGGTATCCCTTACGACCACGATATCTAGGTGCATCTTTGTTGGGTACTTTGACACGAACATGTGACCCATCAATTGCCCATATACAATTCTTGAAGTATGGATAAAATCGCTTTTTATCTTGAATTTCTTTTTGTACAACATCACCTTTTGGTTGTTGAATATAACGACTTTCTAGTGATATACTTTCTTGGAGAAATCCATGGAAGCACTTACTTGTAGTGGATTTAGAGCAACAACCAAGAGACAAATTGATTTCTAAAATCATTTCCCACAATGTGCAAACATCTTGCAACATGCTCTTTAACGGACATGCATTGAGTAGCTCGAACACCACCATCATGTTGTAAGATAGTCCACAATTTCTTAAAAGCATGCTCACTCATACGTATAACTTCGGGACATTGTCCACCATTTGAAAGGTTATGTAGCAATTGTTTACGTATATGTCGATGTTTTAAAATAAGTTTTCTAGAAGGTGATTTAGGACGATTTGTGTTGGCAAGTTCACGTTGTGTCAGAGTGACCATCAAAAAACAAATCAGATGAACTACTTGCCTTTTCCTGACTCTCAGAAATTGAGCAAATGTTTGTAGCTCACTATCCATCGAAAATGTTACCAATTTTATGAAAAAAAATTAAACGACGATTCTTGTGTTATATGTGGATGCATATGTTATAGTTGCTTACTCAAACCAAAGGTAGATTCAAGGGAAAAAAAAAGTCAGATGAACTTTAAGAAAGATGGAAAACAGAAAGATTGAAAAACTAGTGTTGGTTCCTCTTTGTTATTTCAAACTTTCACTTTATATTGATTTTTATGATGCCATGCCACCATCCCCCTTAATAGAGTTACAAAATCATTATAGGACTATGACAAATATAATCTTCATTCTATTTACAAATGATTGAACATTAGTTCATCTTGCCTAGAACCATATTATTATTCAGATTATTAGAGGCATAATCACTAAAAACTCCAAGTTTGGACTATTAAAGCATATCACAAATATGAAAACATTTTGGTGAGCAGATTTTTCATAATACAATGCATATTGTCTAATTCTAATTGCAATAGTCCACTATCTTTTTTAGATTTTTAAGTGTTAACCACTAAAGCTTAAAGGTACCATTATATATTAGAGCTTTTATAGCAAAAACTAAAGAAGCTAATATCATGATGTCTAGAAAAGAAATAAATATAACATGCAGTCCCCTCCTATAATGATATTTGAAGTAAAGATTGTGTGTCACCACAAGCACTTATAATGATTTTTAAATAAAAACTATGTCCTTAATACAATATCTACATATTATTTCTAGGTAAGGCGAATTGTTGTAAATTGAATATGGTTTGCTTCTTTAACTGTTACGGCAACATACTTGGATTTTAAGTTGTAATAGCAAAATACTTACAATTTTTTTTACCGATTATAACAACATTTTACATGTACTCCATTACCATTTCTTTATTTTGATTATGTGTGCATCTAGCATCATATTAAAATATAATGTGATTATATAAATGCCAAATAAGTACCCAACTAGCACCAAATAACAAATAACATAATCCATTTCATACTCCTATACGAAATGAAATATGTCTTTGTATTCATTGTGTGTCCAGAATAATGGCATCATGTATAAGAAACATAAACAAGAAATCGAAGAAGAGAATGAAACCTAATGATGGAAGCTTGCAGAGCGTCAATCTGATGACAAAGGATGAAGCAACAATTTTTTTTTTCTACATGTTGTACATGAATATACAGGGTTCAATGATAGTTTGGTAATCATCGATTTTATGTTTATCAATGATTCTATTCTCTCAAAATCTCTCCAATTTGAGAGGAAGATTAGAAGAGAAAGAATCTTTTTTATTTTTCTTTCATTTCTTTCCAAATCACTCCAATCAATAAACCCGAGAATGTTGTTTACTCATTTTTTTTCTCTCAAATTCCTTTTTTTTCTCTCTACTTCCCTTGTTAATTGAGACTCAAGAAAAGAATGTAAACGGCTCACAAGCAACATAAATATATATAATTTATCCCTGATTAAAATTTCAACATATAATTTAGTAACTTTTATTCTAAAAAAATTAAAAATATTTGATCTTATAATAATGAAAATTAAAAATACTTTAGGATTTGTATTTGGTCGATTAGAGATTGGGGGTTACTAGAAAAATGCAAGTTCACCCCCCTTCACCTTTTGGAAAGAAAACCCTGAATTTAAAAACCCTCTTTCAACCCCAATCTCCGACGACGCCGGAGATGGCATATACATACAGATACAGTCGTCCTCTAGTCCAGTCATACCGCATTCTTCACAAACTCCATGCAGGTATCTTCATCTCTATCGAACCCTTCTAAATTATTTCTGCTTTCTGTGCTCTCATAAATTTTTTCCCATTCGCATCTTCTAGTGAGCTCTTGCGGACAAAATACGTTTTCGGCATTTTTCTCCACAGAATTCGTGGGTGATACACCTGTTCTCGTATGTTCCCTTATCTCCCACTGGTCTGATCAATCGTAGATAAATCGATACTCGCAAGAAACGAGAAATGAATTTCGATCGTATGCTACATATTAGTGCAAAAATGACTTATTCGATGATTGTTTTATTTTAATTGAACAGGTTAGAGACTTTATACACTCAGCATTGTATCATCCTGATCATGGTTACTTTTCACAAAGCCCAAGGTCTGTTGGAGTGCTTGATAGGGGCATTAACTTTCATAAGCTTCAAGGTACCACATATATTCAGTTTGTTATATCCATTTGCGTCGAACAATCACCCAAACCAGTAATTCGAATCTGTCTTTATGGAAATACTTGGCTACTCTTGTAAACCATATTTCTGTTAACCTGAACTGGTGAGCTTTTTTCAGGAAGAAAGGCTTACATGTCACATTTGGAAAACATTTACAAGCAAAATGATGTTTCTTGGTTTACCCCAGTTGAGCTTTTCAAGGTATTATATATATATATGACATACACCTAATTTGGAGAACATTGTGTGATCATATGACCTTTTTCATCTTATTCCTTTTGTAGCCTTGGTATGCCCATGGGATTGCAGAAGCAATCTTGAGAACAACTAATCTTTCTTTTCCACTAAAGGTGAGTTCCTTGATTCTGATAATCTACAAGAATGAAGTTTCCACTTTCCATCATGACTCTTGATTCTAATGTGGTCAATTCAGATATATGAAATTGGAGGTGGATCAGGAACATGTGCAAAGGGCATAATGGATTACATAATGTTGAATGCACCTACACGAGTTTACAATAACATGTCATACACGTATGTGCTATCTTTTTTCCCTTTAAAAGTTGTAAGTATCAGTTTATTCACATATATGCATTATAATATATATAACTTCCTTCAATTTCAACACATCAAACCATTAATGTTATCCAAATTTTTATAAGTAATGCAGTTCAGTAGAAATTAGTTCTTCATTAGCCAAGAAACAGTTAGAAACTGTTGGAGAAGTTGGTAGCCACTTATCAAAGTTCAAAGTAGAATGTCGTGATGCTGCTGATCGTAGTGGATGGGGTATTTTTTTAAAAAAATTAACCATTTTATCAAAGTTCTCTTTAAAAAAAATAAAATTTTAGAAATTTTATAGTTTTGGTTTTAAAAACAGGGGATGCAGAGCAACAACCATGTTGGGTTATAATGCTTGAGGTAGGTTCTACACTTCTACTTCTATCTATAATTCTATAATTCTAAATTATCATTTATCTATCTACTAACATTACAATTCACAATTAGTTTTTAAGTTTTATATTTTAATTTTAGGTTCTTGATAACCTTCCACATGACCTTATTTATTCGGAGAATCAAGTTTCACCATGGATGGAAGTTTGGGTAGAAAAGCAACAAGACAGGTGATAAATGTATAGTTAGTTATACTTATATATAACATAGTTTATTAATTTGATGAATTTGATCTGTAAAACCCTAAACCCTAAACCCTAATGATTGCAGTGGTAAATTGTGTGAGTTGTATAAGCCAATGCAAGATCCTCTGATAAAAAGTTGTTTGGATGTTTTAAATGTTGATAAAGACTTTAAACATCAAGGAATTAGAGAGGCTTCATTTCCTAGCAAAATGTGGTCTAAAATCTTTCCAAAAGCTAAACGATGTTGGCTTCCTACTGGTTGTTTGGTAAGAATATGTTTCATTATAAACTAATTTACAGATAGATATGAATGAATATATTTGAAACTTATGAAGATTTATATGACTTCCAGAAACTTCTAGAAACATTACATGGAGCCTTGCCAAAGATGTCAATGATTGCTTCTGATTTCAGCTACCTTCCTGATGTCAAAGTACCTGGTGAAAGAGCTCCTTTGGTTTCCACCAAGGTATATCATATATTCTCATTAATTAAAAAAAAAAAAATCATGTTTTTGATATGATTTAATCTATTTTTCTGCAGAAAGATGGAAGCAGTTCAGATCACAGCTCATATTTGGATGCGAAGGTAGAGTTTCATATTTGCATTCTTTAAATAAAATAAATTTATATATCTTTTTTTTTTTATATATTTGTTGCAGGGTGATGCGGATATATTTTTCCCAACTGATTTTTGGCTTTTGGAGCGGATCGACCACTACAGTTCCGGGTGGTTAAAATCACGGATCGAGTCTTATGACAGGTCATCCAAAAAAGGAAAGAAAAGACGCACCATAACTGTAATTTCTCACTTTCATTATTAAACTTTCTATATATATATTAGTTGTGGTAAAATATTTTGTAGCAACTTACTTTCTTTGGTATGTATAGCTTGATACATCGGTGTTTATGGAAGAGTTTGGTTTGCCCACAAAGACAAAGACAAAAGACGGATATAACCCTCTTCTTGAAGACTTCATAAATACTAAATTTTACCTTAGTGTTCCGACACATAACACCAAATAAACAGCGAAATAGAAAGAAAGAAGAACTTGAAGAAATAGTGCATTTGTAGAGATTTTCACTGTTGTATCGTGGAGATACGTGCGTTTTTATGTAACGTATAATTGAATATTCTTTCTAAAGGATAAATGCAATAAATAGCAACATGTACTTTTATCAATTTGTTTATTGTAACAGCCTCCTTTGATTTCTTTTTATTGTAGCATTGTATTTTTTTTTTTTCTTACTAAGACATTGGACTTCAAAGAATCTATAGTTGTGGGAAAGTTTTGTAATTGGATGACATTGTTGTAACAGGAAGAAATGAAAGTTGGATACTGTAATAAACAAGTCAGTAGAAGTACATTGTTATTTGTATGAAACCCTTTTTAGCATACACTTGCCTCTCCTTCTCCAACATTGAAGATGAA